CGAAGGAGCAGTAACGGCATCACCTCCACTTGAAGTAGCCGACGATGTATTGGTAGAGGGAGGCGCTGACACGTTGACGTCTGGGCCCGCAGCTGCGCTGGCGCTGCTGAGCCCCGTCGCCTCTAGTCATTCCTTCTTGGCCGCATGGCCACTTGCAGCACCAGTGGAGACATTGGTGGCAGCCGTCGTAGCCGATGTGCCTCCTCCTGCCGCTGCCGCCGCGCCCTGGCCGCTGACCTTCGCCTTGAGGCCCGCGGCCTCCTGCGCCTTCTGGGCTGCCTCGAACTTGGCCTGTGACAGCCTGGCAGCCTCCTTCTTGAGCTCCTCCGAGGGCGGTGGATTAGGGGTAGGAGCTGAGTTGGCAGCGGCTGCTGCTGCGGGCTCCTTGGCCTGGTCCTTGGCCTGGGTCGCCGCGTCCTGGCCCTCCTCGCTCTTCCTCTTCTTCCCCATGCGCTCCTCGACATCCTTCTTGACCGTGTCGAGCTTAGCCATGAACTTCTGGAGTTCGGAGTCCTTCGGTGCGAACGACTCCTGCATGGTCTTCAGCTCTGCCTTGAGGTTGCGGAGGGTGACCTTATCGGCCTCCTCGCACTCCCACTCCTCGAACTTCTCGAAAACCTCTGGGTTCATGTGCAGACTGAAGTGCACGCCCTTGCCCTGCCGGTCCTGCGCCGTGTCGGCGGCTGCCTTGACGCCTTCAGCTTGGGCAAGGGCGCGCGTCGCACTCCTCTTGTCCGCCTCAGCCTTGGCGAGGACTAGGGCGGCCTCCTGCTCTTTGCTTTCGGCGCCCTGGAGCTGGCGCCGCAGCCGCAACGCCTGGCTCACCAGCTGCTCGTGCCGATGGCTAGCCTGCCTCCAGGCCCCGTCAGCACGCTTCACGGACTCGACGGCCGACACGTCGGTCGTCGCCTGATCCTTCAGCTTGGAGCGCTGGGCTGCCAGGACGGCCCGCATCTCAGGGTCGTCAGTGAACTCGACTGCCTTCGCCAGCAGCCCGTCGAGGTTCTTGGTGGCCTGATTTTGGGGGCCCTTGCCGCGGCCTGGGCTGCGAGTGCGCCTGCCCTGGCCCTGCGACCCCTGGTCCTCCCTGTCGCCGATGAGCTCGACGTCGCTGTCGACAAAGACCCGCCTCTCCGCGGACGAGTCTCGCTGACGGGACGCATCATAGAGCTTCACCTGCTTGCCGCAAGACACGCACTTCCTTCTATTGGCCAACAACTTGGTGTTGTATTCGCATGTCTTGCAATTCGCACACCTGCTCCATGGAAACCTCGAGCCTGCCATTGGATGATGGTAATTTCTCCTGTCTTCGTTGACGTCGTCTGCTGTGGGCCCAGCAGCGACGAAATCCCCCAAGCACAGCGCGGAAGTGCAGGAGAGGCCAAAACACGCGTGCCCTGCGCACGGGGGCGAGGGACTTGGTGCTTCAGCCCAGATTGCTTGATGAAGGAGGAGGAGGAAGAGGAGGAGGAGGGGGAGGAGGAGGGGGAGGGCGGGAACTGGGCCTGGAGGGGAGTCCGACCAGCTTGCCACCGCCCTGGCTTTGCAACTTCACAAGCGCTCAGGGCCCCCTTGCGTGGGCTCGGTGTTCGGTATGGGCCCCTTGGCCGCCGCTGCGGCCACCCTCGTTCTGCGGCGGCGTCCTAGTGACTCACCTGGACGGTTGGTCGCTCGCTCGCTCCCTCTTTCTGTTCCTCACTTTTACCTCCATCTTTCTTTTTGTCCTCCTTACATTTCCCCTTCTCCCTTCCTTTTTGCGCCTCCCTCCCATTCCCTCCCTCCTCCCAGCGGGATATCGGAGGGGGGTGTCTGTTTCGGCGCCTTTCGCTCTTTTCTTTCAACGGCGTCATGATCACGTCGACGCCACGGGCAAACGTCATGATCACGTCGTCACCACGGAGAGGAGACCCTTGTGTCTTCGGCGAGTACGGCGCAGGGCGAACGGAGAAGGAGGAGGGAGGACGAGTAGGAGGAAGGAAAGGAGGAGGACGCAGGTGGGGGGAGAAGCATTGCCGCTAGGAAAGAGGAGAAATGACGTATCAGGACGGAGGAGGTCGCATCAATGCAGATCCTTCCTCCTCCCTCCTCGCCTCTCCCCGTTAGCTGTTCCTGGCCTCCTCTGGGTGCCCGTTGCTGCTTTTTTCTTTCCACCCCGCCTCCCCCCCTCTTGAGCGACGCCGTCAGCCTCATCTCGGCAGTTCGGCTCCATCGCGATGCCTCAGCGCCCAGTGGGACTGCTTGGGGTCAGGTTGAGTGTTTTGGTTCGCCACCGTGGGTCTTTCTCCTACTTTCTGAAGGTTAGCCCGCCAAGATATTGTCTTGGTGTGAAGGCCTCACGGCCAGTGCCGCCGACCCTGAGGGCGGGACCTCCCCCAGGACCTCGCGGTCCCCTCTTGGGACCCCGGGGCCGGCGCCACGGCCGAGGCCGGGGCCGGGGCACACGGGGAACCCCTCCCCGGGACCCGCCGGAACCTTGCGGCAGTAATCTGACCCGGGGCCCCCGCCCTCCCCCCGCCCTCCCTCCATCGACGCCCTCCATCGACGCCCCTCCCCCAGGCGACCGGCAGTCAACCCACGCCAATGACCCCCCCCCGCCATCCCTTGGAACAAAAAGCAATGCAAGATACGTCTTGCTTCCAAATCTGGCGCATGCGCGGGCGCCCCGCGACCACTTTGCGTTGTCTTTTGATAGGGACGGCGGGGGTGCCGGCATGCTGCTCACTGCGCGCAGGCCAACCACATTTGTCAAAAACATGACACAAATACATGTTTGCTCTAATTTCGGAGCATGCTCGGCATTCGGCATTCCGATTCAGGGGGATTCAAGATCCTGAACTCCTTGGGGCCAGGGCTCCAAGAACCTGGTGTCCCTGCCGGTTCCCCGTAGCTGGCGCACCTGGCGCGGTTTGAGCACGTGGTACAGTTGGCGCACGTGGAGCATGTGTCGCACCTGGCACGCTTTGGCCTCCAGGGTGCCTGGTGCACCTGGAGCCCGTGGCGCGCATGGCATCTGTGGCGCTCCTAAGCGATCTGCTGACGCTCCGGTGTTACGTATGTGTTGGGAGGACGGCCTGCTATCTAGCAAAGTGTCTTGACCCCCCCATACCCCCCTCCCCCCATCTTGGGAGGGGCAAAGGGAATCGACTTAACTACGACTCAACTTCTGTTCGTTCCTCGATTTTTTCGGGACTGGCGACGACGACGGCGACGACGACGACGAAGGCAACGTCTCACACACGCCGAAGGGTCGGCAAATACTTTCTTCTGGCGCGTATTGGTTGTTACCCGTCCGCCCCCCCCCCCCGCGGGTAACGGTAACGTACGTGGAGGTAGGGGTTTGGACCCTTTTTCATGTTCTGGTGCTTGTGCGCACATTGTGGCGATCTCAGCGCACCTCCGCCCCGACTCGGCCCCACCCCGCCCAAGCGTTACCGCTACCCGCCCCCCCGGTAAACAACCGCTGCTGGAAATAGTAACTAGTCAAACACACATCTATATCTTGCCAGACCCCCCGCTCCCCTCCTCCGCGAACGACTTGAGAGCACTCTACCGCGTTGGCGTCCCCCGAGGCGTCGTCGACCATCGACCCAGGAATGGTACGTTGCACAGTTGTTTGCTTGGCCTTGGGAGCAGAAACAGTACAGTCGGGGCCCTGAAGAAGGAACCCTTTTCGTTTGGGAGGGGCTCGGTGTTCCTTGATTGTTCTGCAGGTTGTCTCCGGTTTTCCTGAGGTTTTCCATGGGACATCGAAGTTCAGCTTGTGGGAGAAAGGGGCCTCGTTCCTTATTTCGAGTTCCTAGGTCAACGCCCCGACGGTATACACCGTACCCCGACGGAGTGTGGCGCGAAGGAAGTCCCAACATGGTACGGTGGGTTCGCGTCCGACCGGCGGCGGCCCCGCCGCAAGCGTTCAACGTCGAACGCCGCAGACGACGCAGCATCGGTTGACGTTGAACCCCGACGTTTCGGAAACGGCCGATCCGATCGTTCAATGTGGAACGATCCCCGCGGTGTCAGAAACCAACGCCAGGGCTGTGACGGCACGAGCCTGCCGTACAATGAATTCTGTCACGGGATCAACGCGTGTGCATTGCAAAATGCGTGCTGCTAGCCCTCTGTGGGGCCTCTGGGGCAAATGGCTGCGCTGTGGGGAAGCGCTGCTGCAAACCTTTCTCTCCTGCCTGTGCTGGACTTTGTGTGCAGCTACCTTGCAAGAGACTGAATTCAGACCGAGACTGAATTGGATGCTAGAAGCACCATCGATGGGAGCATGTGCGCCGCTCTCCCTTTGCCCCCCCTGAGATCCGACGTTGCAAAGGAAAGATGCAACATCGCAAAAAATCACGACCAGAGCCCCGGAGCCCATCTTCCTGCGCCACCTCTCGAGCCGGATCGACCTGTGAGGGTCCTGGGGCCCGAATGCGAGCGAAAACGCCGCCAAATGTGAAAGGATTGCACCGCCAGGGTCTCGGACCCCCCCGCCCCGTCCGCAGCCATGGGCCGGCTTGCAGGCCCCCCCCCCAGCTCCGGCCAGGCCGCGGCCCCAGGGAGCCGCCGAGCCGCCCGCCGGGGGTAGGGGGGGGGGCAACGGTGGGGGGGGGATGGGCGTACCGTCGGGGCGTTGAATGAGGTCCACTTACTTTTCGAGAGGGGCTCGGCCGTTCTTTAGGTTTGCATGCGTTCCGTTCCTTTTTTGGTGGCGAGCCCCCCTGGCGCTCCTGGAAAAAAGGGGCTTCGTCCCTTCTTTATCGTTCGTTGGGTCAACGCCCCGACCGTTATTTGAGGGGGGGGGCATCGACCCGGAATCGGCGATGCATCGCCGACAGATCGGCGATAGGACCCCGAGAGTGAATCCGCACCTTCCTGGGCCGATTTGGGCTATCCGGCTCCTACCGGCGAGCAATGGGCGATGGGGGGTCGTTGCATCCCCCCCTGTGCCTATCCCCCCCTCTCGTTGCCCCCCACCGGGGGGGTTGGGGGGGCGCCGCCCCCGCCGGCGCATGCTGCGGGAGCGGGAGCCCGCGGACGTGACCGCCGCCCTGACCGCGGACACGGACACGGACGCCCCGATTTCCAACGGAAGGGAGAATCGGATGCAGGTGAGGTTCTGGGTTCGAGGAGGCTTTTGGCCGTCTTCGGCCTCGGGGCCCGTTCTTGGGCGTCGGGAGCGTCAGAGGCGGATCCGGCAGATGGATTCCAGGAGGGGTCCAGGGACCTATTTGGAACGGATTTGCCCTTATCCGCCGTTCTTGTCCGCGGACACGGACGCACGATCGGCACGATCAAAGTGCACCATGGGTACGGAGAGAATGTGTACGAAGACCGACAGCAGTCCTTGTCCATTTTGAACAGGGTTCGTTGTCGGCGTCGCCGCAGACGTTGTCCATTTGAGGTAGAAGGCCGCCTACCCACCACCGCCACCATTGAGCCAAGCATCCGGAAGGAATCATGGGCAGAACAGTGCGCGATTGGTAGCTTCTCGTGAAAACCATCGAGTGCGTCACGGAAGGACTGCGTGCACGGGTCGGCCTCAGGAGGGGCCCGAGCCCAACAGCTGGATCGAGCGTCAAGCTCCCTCCGGCCTGCGGACCGCAGACCCTGACCCGCGGCGCAGGGCAGACGACAGCCTGCGACGGTCGCTCCCCGCCGCCTTCGCGCTGCCAGGGCGGCGGGCGGCGGGCGCGTGCCGTGGCACGGCGCAGTGGAGACGGGGAGGAGGAGGAGAGACGGCGGGAAGACGACGGGCACGGACGCCTGGAGCTCCAAGTTGAAGGAAGCGCAGGTATGGTCACACAGACCGAAGCAGACGACGAGGCGGTCACACAGACCGAAAAAGAGGCGGATCGACGCCGTGCAAACGTACATCTGAGGGCCGGAGCCGAGGCTCCGCCGCGCCTCCCGCGTAGGGACGGCTTCCGGGCCGGTGGGCGCGTGTGTGTGTGTGTGTGTGTGTGTGTGTGTGTGTGTGTGTGTGTGTGTGTGTGTGTGGGAAAATCAGCTACGTGAGCTGATTCTCAAACCCCCCCTTTGCTATCCCCCCCTTTCGCCCGACCCGAACGACGGGCACGGACGCCTGGAGCTCCAAGTTGAAGGAAGCGCAGGTATGGTTTACGGCGCGTGGATCCCGCTTCCGTGCCTGATCGGGGCGCACCGTCGCCAAGTCCAGCGGCATCGGCCTGATGCCTCATTGGGAGCCTTCTCGATCCGTGCTGGCGGCTCTTCCCGATCCGTGTTAGCGCGTGGGCGATCAATTCAGTCGCAGGGGGTCGTTGAGGGAGTTCTCCTCTTCACTTCCGCCCTACTCTTTTTCTCCCTCCCTCCTCCTCCCTCCCCTGTCCTTCTCACTCCTCCCTCCTCATTCTGTTCCTCCCCTGGGGGTTGGGAGGCTACCTTGCTGCACTGGAAAATAAGCAAGCGCGCACTGATGTGGGGTCGGGCCTTCTTGGCGGGGCCCGAAGATGATCGCGCTTCGCGCGTCGCGGGCCAGTCTGCGAAGGCTCGGCGGCGAAACCCGGATTCCGCCTTCGCCGATCAACGATTCAGGCAGCTCGATGGGCGGTGGGGTCTGGGTTCGCGTTCGTCGAGCACGTGGCGAACTCCTGACCCTCCCCCCGCCTCCCATCGATCCAGGAGGATCGATGCTTGGCGGGGGCACGGGGTCTTGGCATCGCTCGGACGTGTGCCTTTTTCCGTCGGCGAGGGCCATCGGGGAGCATCCTTGATCATTTGGCGAAGAAGCCACGCACGAAACCGAAAAATACACAGGGAATGGACGTCCGAGCGATGGCGAGGGGTAGGCTTCGGACGTCGCCGCCTCCTCCTGCAGGGCGGCGGCGCGGGTGCGCGAGAGGGCGGGGCGCGCGTCGCGCACCGCAGGGGGCGCGGGGCGCGAAGCTGGGTGGCCCAGCACGATGACCGTGGGCCTGGGCCCTGCACGGGGCCCTCTCCTCCTCCTCCTCCTCCTCCTCCTCCTCCTCCTCCTCCTCCTCCCCCTCCTCCTCCTCCTCCTCCTCCTCCTCCTCCTCCTCCTCCTCCTCCTCCTCCTCCTCCTACTCCTCCTCTCGCCACGGCCTGGGTTCGCTTCGGAGTCCTGGCCCGGACGCGCCCCCGGGAGAGGTACGGGGAGGAGCGGCGTTGGGTGCCGTCATGGGGATGCGTCTCCTGGCAGCTCCAATCCAGGAGTGGCGCTGGCATAGCCCGCGTCGAGGGCTGGCCCAGTCCGGTTCAATCCCGCTTGATCTGGCGCGCAATCCAGCTTGATGCCGCGTAGAAAGTTCTGGCTCAATCCTGGGTTGAGTCTGGCCCAATCCGGCCCGATGGCCCCTTGCTCTGACGAAGACCTCCCAGGGGTTGCCTCCTATGTGCTCTGGGGAGCAGGGAGTCATGATCATGGCGCGTTCCCAGACTCCCATGCTCTCCTGCCGGTGTCCCGCGCGGCCAGAGACGGCCGTGGCCGAGCACTGCTGGCGGAGAGCCGCTGGAAGCGCGGGCATTCCCGGAGCGTGCGGCGGGCCAGCCGCGCCACGGCAGTCCAGTCCAGGCGCCGAGGTGGGGCCCGGCCAGGGTCTCCGGAGGGGCTCCGGCTGTCGGGCCCCTCCTGCAGGCCTGGGTCGCGGGGCCTTCAGGGGCAACGATGGGGGGGGATACGCTTTTAGGTGGGGATGCATCGACCCGGAATCGGCGATACATCGCCGACAGATCGGCGATAGGCCCCCGATAGTGAATCCACACCTTCCTGTGCAGGTTGGGGCTATCGGGCCCCTGTCGGCGACCAATGGGCGATTGGGGGTCGATGCATCCCCCCCCTATTAGGGGGAAAACAAACCTACCCCGCTTTCGCTTCCAGGCAACACCAAGCCATACCACGCGCCTCCTCGTCAAGCGGCCTGACCAGTACAGGCCGTAGTTTGGCATCGTTTGGTATCTCTTGGAAGCGAGGGTGGTCAAAAGCGAGGTAGGTTTGTTTTCCCCCTAATAGGTGGGGATGCATCGACCCCCAATCGCCCATTGGTCGCCGACAGGGGCCCGATAGCCCCAACCTGCCCAGGAACGTGTGGATTCACTATCGGGGGCCTATCGCCGATCTGTCGGCGATGTATCGCCGATTCCAGGTCGATGCATCCCCACCTAGGCGTATCCCCCCCTATCGTTGCCCCTCAGGCCTGCTCTCGGCCGAGGCTCGCCGCAGCGAGCCCGGCCGTTTTTTTTGAGGCAGAGCTCCTGTGGTCGTGGCAGCGCTCTCTCTAACGTGTGCATCTTCTCTCGGCGAGAACCGTCGAGGAGCGTGTTGGGCCATCTTGCGAAAAAGTAGGCGCACGAAGTCGAATGGACGTCCGAGCGATGGCAAGTTGGTCGTGCTAGGTCACCCGCGGGGGCGCGAAGATGATCGCGCCCCGCACGTCGCGGCCGGAGCCGCAAGAGGTTTCATGTCTGGGGCGGCGTCGCGAGCGGGGAAGGCTCAGGAAAGTTCTCGGAAGGCCGGGGGACTTCCGAGCCTTCTGAGAAGGCCCGCCCCTTCTCACTTCCCCCCCGTGCTCGCTGCTGGCTGCTAGGAACCGGTTCGTTGCCGAGGTTCGTCGCCGCCAGAAGAGCCCATTCTTTCCTCATTCAGCGTTCTTCATGGTAGCACGATGACTTCTCTCTCGTCCTATCCCACCTCCAGGCATGCGATGTCGTGTTTATTGAAATGCAGGGCTCCCCGAAGTCCCGACCTGGACAAGGTGCTGTTTTTTCACCCCGACTCTTTTTTTTGTGTGACTGTACCGGGGGCCCCCAGAGGCCGAACCAATATAAATACCACTATCTTGAAGTAGCGTGAGGGGGCGGGCGCGGGTTGGTTCGCGGGTGGGTCTCGGTGTGGCTCGCTGGGTGGGTCGCGGGTGGGTCGCGGGGGATTCGCGGGCAAGGACGACAACAACCACTAGCTAACAACGACACCAGTCATTTGAATATTGTTCGTTTTGATTGGCTCGCGTATCATTCAACATGTATCTCCCAAACCCTCGATAGCCGCCCTCTACGTCATCGATCGTACCTTGGGGTATGTCTTCTTTCCCTGCCACGTGTAAGTGGTACAGCAGCTAAAACAAGGGTGGAATGAAGGATGGAAGGTACAAGGGGGAGGGAAAAGGATGGAGCACAAGAGTCAGACCTTCATGAATCGCGAGGAAGTCTCCAGCGATAGCGCGATTCCCAAGTAAATCGCGAGGACGTCAGAGCGAGAGCGTGATTCCTGAGTGTCGAGGTTGCAGAGTTTAACAAATTGCGAAGAAGTCCCACTCGAGAGCGCGATTGCTACATACATTGTGAGGGCGTCCCGCGCGATAGCACCATTTTTCTACCAATTGTGAGGAAGTATCCGGCGGGAGCTGTTGAACCTTCATCTTGAAACAAATAATTATCGTTGTTCCCTTTCCACCGGTGCACATTGTATTTTTCAACTGTAGTGCACCCCTCGGGGCTCGCACCTTACTTCTCACCATCAGGGAGAGTATTCTTGCTTAAACTGAGTTTTCGGGAATCACTCTCTAGCTCTGGTTTTTCTCACGATGTACTTGGGAATCGAGCTATCGCTCGAGACTTCTAGCGATTCATGCAGGACTCACGCTTCAGCAACCCGCCTGCTCAACCTCGCCGCCTGGGCCCGCCTTCCCGACCCGCCCGCTGGGGTCTGCCCGCCCGATCTGCCCGTCTGGTTCTACACCGTGTTTTCTGTTCCTAGCCCCCTTCCTGCTAATTGCTCTCGTGCTCCATCCTTCTCCATCCCCTTTTCATCCGTTCCCTCTTCCCATGTTCTAGTGGCTGCGCAAACTTCGCGTGGCAGGTAAGGAAGATATACCCCCAAGGGGGGTCTGATCGAAGACGAAGAGGGTGGACACCGAGGATTTCGGATGTACGTGTTGAATGGCACGCGAGCATACTGGAGCGAACAATACTACATGGTAATTGTTGTTGTGGTGCTTACTGCTGTTGTTGCTGTTGTTGTTATCGTTGTGGTTGTGGTGGTGGTTGTTGTTGGTGTTGGTGTTGGTACTGGTGCTAGTGCTGGTTTTGTTGTTGGTTGTTGTGTTGTTGTTGTTGCTGCTGTTGCTGTTGCTGTTGTTGTTGCTGTTACTGTTGATGATGCTGTTATTGTTGTTGCTGCTGTTGTTGTCGAGCTCTTGTGTTTAAGCAGAATTATTATTTACTCCCCCTCCGGTAACCACTGCATTTCTCAATTCAAACGTTCATCCGGGGTCTCGCACCCATTTTTGACACGGGAAAGTAAGGGGCCACCAAATTGCTGTGTCGGCCCCCGAACTACTACAACAACGGCTCCCGTTTAATATTTCCTCACGGTTGATTCTTAAGTCGCATTTTTGCGCAGGACTTTCTCACAGTGTTTGCAGAAGTTGCGTTCTCGCGTGCATTTCTTCGCAATTTATTCAGACGCCGCGCCCTCCACGACGCTCTCGCAGTGGACGTCCTTTTCATCTATTTGGAAATCGCGCTATCGCTCCTTTAAGGGGTGCACGAATGCTACACGCTGCAGGTAAGGAAGATACAAGGGGGTACGATCGAAGACGAAGAGGGCGGGTACCGAGGGTTTGGGATGTAGTTAACGTGTTGAACGGCACGCGAGCAAATAATGGCGAACAGTCTGGATATGATTGCTGCTGTTGAATTTAAAGCTGAAGAGTAATCATTGTTGATGCCCCCCTCTCTGGGGCACGTTGTATTTTTGAATTGGGTGCCCTTCCCGGGAAGTCTCGGGTCTCAGAGTTCGGCCCCTGGCCTCCGACTTCCAACGACAGCGGGCTCCCGTCTTATGCTTCCTCTCAATGTATTCCCAAATCGCTCTCTCGCGCGGGACTTCCTCACAATGTATGCATACATCGCGCTCTCGCGTTGAATTTGAGAATCGCGCTAACGCTCGAGACTCGCGATTCATGCAGGACGTACGCTTCGGCAACCCGCCTGTTCGACCTGGCCGCCTGGGCCCGCCTTCCAGACCCGCCTGTTAGGGTCTACCCGCCCGATCTGCCCGTCTGGTTCTGCCAAGTGTTTTCTGATCCAACCGTCCTCTCTTCCCCTGCGTTAGGGACTGCACGCAACACACGCTGCAGGTAAGAAAGATGTACCCCTAAGGGGGTACGATCGAAGACGAGGAGGGTGGGTATCGAGAGTTTGGTAGATACGTGTTGAATGGCACGCGAGGTGATATGAGCGCACAGTGTTACCAAGATGGTTGTTGTTGTTGGTGGTGGTAGTATTGTTGGTGTTGTTGATGTTTCTGTTGAGTTCCCATTTCTGATGAGCGATTATTGTTGATCGCTCTCCCCAGTGATCTGCGTATGTTTTCCATGCGGGTGTCCCGACGCTCTCGCTATGGCCTTTCTCGCGATTCATTTGGGAATCGCACTATCGCTCGAGCTGTCCTCGTGATGCATGCAGGACTCACGCTTCAGCAACACGTTTTCTTGACCTGGCCGTTTGGGCCCGTCTTCCCGACCCGCCTGTTAGGGTCTACCCGCCCGATGGGCCTGTCTGGTTCTGACATGTGTTTTCTGCTCCTGACCCCCCTCCTGCTAATCCCGTGCTCCATCCTTCTCCTTCCCCTTCCATCCGTCCTCTTTTCCCCTGTTTCACGGGTTGCACCAATTGCACGCGGTGGGTAACGAAGATATACCCCCAAGGGGAGACGATCGAAGACGAAGAGGGCGGGTACCGTGGGTTTGGGATCTAGTGTTAAGTGGCACGCGAGCATGTAGGAACGAACGGTCTTAGAACGATTGTTGCTGTTGGACCCTCCATATGCGCTTCGGCGCTCTCGCCCCGGCGCCGGGTGCATGTCCTTTGAACTTTAGGCTCACGCTCAAGCGTTTAGGGCGGAGGAAGGATGTCCAAAGCGGAAGCCAGATTTCTCAATCAATTGTGAGGGAGTTTCGGCGGCAGCGATTGTTGTTGTAGTTCGGGGGCCACCAGCGCAGTCTGAGCCTCAAGACCTTTCTTTAAAATCAATGGTGCGAGCACCAGGAGGGGCTTTTCAATTGAAAGCAATGCGGGCACCTGCGAGGGGAATCAACAATAGTTATCGATCGAAAAGGACACTTAACTACAACAGTAATCTTACCCTCATGCGCCATGCTTCTACATGTCAGAGGCATCCATCATGATACCACCCCCTTCTTGGGGGAACTGTATGAACAAAGGACCGATATTCTGGCACCCAGATCTCCTGCCCAAGGAGGTTGAGTCAACACCTCTTCCGAGGCACTTCCCCGTGTTGAGCTCGCACGACGCATAAACAGATCAGCGCCACATTGGGGAGCGGTGAGGATTCGAAACAAGAAGGGTTCGAGCCCAGAGAGTGGCAATGTGTATGAACATAGGTAAACAATTAAGGATTCGAGCCCCAGTCGAGAGGTGCCAAATAGGGCCTCAAAAGAGTGGAGCCCCAGGTGATCGTTGTCTTGTTCATTGTTTTGCCGATCGTCGCGGGCCCTCGCACCCCCTCCCCCCCATGGAGTAGATCTTTGCTGTTTTTTGGCGCCTGTTCCAAGCAGGTGGAGTCTCCTCCATATGACGCACTGTTGCAAACAGTTGCACTAAGCAGAGGTCCGGAGCCCCCCCCACCTACCCTCTCCCCACTTCCGCACAATTCGGAAACGCCGAGTAAGAGAACGCTCACCAGTCAATGGGGCAATGTACAGGATTATACGTAAAACAAAACGGATTCGAGCCCCAGGAGAGGGGCAACCTGTAGAAACATACGCAACACAGAGGATTCGAGCTCCAGAAGCGGGGCGGCGAACCTTTTAGTGGCGGAGCTCCTACGAGAGTCTTCCCCGAGCAGTTCTCCCAATACAAAGAAGTACATCCTGGAGCCTCGTGGGGCCTCCTGGGGCCTCCAGGGGGCGGGGGTGCCGAAGCGCTGCCCGAGCACATATCCCAACACGGAGCAATGCCTCCTGGGGCCTCCTGCCGGCGGGAGGGCTGAGCATCGCTGCCCGAACACCATCGGGCCCCGAAGCGCCCCCCCGAACACAGATCCGAACACAGAAGGTGCATCTTGGGGCCTCCTGGGGACGGGAGGGCCGCAAAACGCTCCCCGAACACACATCTTTGGAGCGTCCTGGGGCCTCCTCGGGCCTCCGCAGGCAGCGGTAAGACTGCTCTGGCGGATTCCTTGATGCTGCAAGTTGCGAAGGCCGTAAGGTCGGTGCCGCCGGCCTTGACGACGACGACGCTGATCGCGACGAGGTGGGAGGAGGAGGAGGAGGAGGAGGAGGAGGAGGAGGAGGAGAAGGTGGCAGAGAATAGAGGAGACTGGGGAGAGGGCCTTGCTTGGGGTCTGGGGCTTTGTTTCGGGCCACTGCCATGAAGAGTCCCCCCTGTCACCCCTTCGATTCGATTGGAACATGGTTCGGTTTTTCTCTCGCTGGCAGGTTTCTACGGAACCCGACTCGAACGGAGAAACCCTTCACACACGCTCACGGGGTCTGCGGATTTGCGAGGAAGCGGATAGGGGCGCGACGGGACAGACAAGGTTCCCCATATGGACATCGGCGTCACCCTAACATACTAATACTATATGTGCGTCGCCCCGCCAGCTGCGACGTGTGCGCGCCGAGAAATCTCGTAGGAAATGCCTCGTGGCGGGCGCTTTCTGGCCGTACCGCTCGGGAAACGGTGCACTACACAGTAGTTGTGTACTGTTTGTTCGGGTCGGACGCGCACCTCCTAGGAGGACACACAGTACTAGTATGTCCTTCTGCGTCCCAGGACAAAGTAAGACCGTTCGCCCCCCTCACTCTGCTGCTGGACCCTCTCTCTACAGGACGGGCCGCCGCCCCGGCGCGCGGCTCGCGGACCGCCCGCCGCCGCGGACAGCACCGCCGCCCTGGCCGCGGACACGGACGAGCCCGCGACCTGCCCCGAGGTCGGCATCGCTTAACCTGCGTGCTTCCCAGACCCCCTCGGGTCACGAACATCTTGGGCGGCAAAGAGGGGTTGGGGATGACCAGGGGGGGGTGGATATCATGGCGTGGGCCATAATATTTCCCGAGATTTCATGGCGCCTCTTCTTAGTTCGTTCCGTCCCTGGCCCGCCCCCTGGGCCGCGCACATGCTGCCGGCCATGATTTGCGCCCCCCCCCCTTGGACACCCCCCTTTGGGCCGCCCCCGAGAACAAAAATCACGGGGGGAGGTCTTTTCGCTATTTTCGGCCTTTGGGGCGGCCTTGCTGGCCTTCGGGGCCGTCAGGAGACGACTCAGGATAAGGATCGGGTCCCAGGGAATGGGTCGAACTCTCGTGGGGTCGATGTTCTGAGCAAAATGACGTCGGGGGTCTGGGTTGCAGCCTCGCCTGAGAACCCCGACGTGGGCAACACCTGGTCGTCGTCCACGCTGGCGGCTTTCGGTGTGTTTCGGCGGGGCAGGGCCGACCCCTCGGCTGGTTGCCTCCGGGGTGACGGGCCTCGCTCGCCCCTCGGAGGTCCCGTCCGTCAGATCGTGCCTGCAGCCTCGCCTGAGGAGGAGGAGGAGGAGGAGGAGGAGGAGGAGGAGGAGCGAGGAGCGAGGAGCGAGGAGCGAGGAGCGAGGAGCGAGGAGGAGGAGGAGCGAGGAGCGAGGAGGAGGAGGAGGAGGCGGAGAGAGGAGGAGGAGGAGAGGAGGAGGAGGAGGAGGAGGAGGAGGAGGGAGGAGGAGGAGGAGGAGGGAGGAGGGGAAAGGGGGAGGGAAAGGGGAGGGGGGGGGGGGGGGAGGGGGACGAGGAGGAGGAGGAGGAGGAGGAGGAGGAGGAGGAGGAGGAGGAGGAGGGGCAGCACCTGGTCGTCGTCAATGTCGGCGGCTGTCGGTATCCCCTGCGGGGCAGGGCTGGCCCCCTCGGCGGATTGCCTCCAGGGTGACGGGCCTGGCGCTGCAATGTTTCACATCGGGCGTTTTCGCTCGGATTCTTTCCAGGGATGCTCACGAGTAGATCGGGCTTGAAACAAGGGCTCCCACGAGGGCGCGAAGTTATTCGCGCTTCGCGGTCCTCGTTCCTTCTCCCCCTCCTCCTCGTCCTCCTTTTCTCCCTTTGGGGGGGCGGCGCGAGAGCGCGAAGTTGGGAGCCCTAGTTGAAAATGGCGCAGAAGGGTGGAGTCTGGTTCAGGTTTCGTTTTTGTTGCCATGTTCTTCTCGGGCGCATGATCAAACGCTGGTTCCCCTGCTCGGGCGAATCGCGGGGGGGCTCCCGAAACAAACGGCGGCGGTGCGGGTGATCAGCGCGGGCGCCCAGCCGCCAGCGAGAGGGCGACAGTCGCGACGCAAGCGGCGCCGCTTCAGCGGAATGGTACACACAGCAAAGAAAGAGGTGACGGGGGGAAGAGGCGCCTCAGCTGGCGGGCGGTGCCGAAATGGCTGCAAACAAGAACGGGAAGAGGGGGATGCGCGGTAGAGGCAGGCGGAAACGGCTCGTCCTCCTCCTTCATGTCCTACGACGACGACGGTAACGACGGCGACGGCGACGGCGACGGCGATTGTGACGGCGACGGCGGACGACGACGCACTGCGGATGCTCCATGGGGTGGGGGAGGGCGGGTGTGCTGCGCATGCCCGCTGCAATCGTCAATGACGACGACGATCACGACGACGCACTTCGGATGCCCCATGGGGGAGGGGTGCTGCGTGGGCCCGCTGTCGTCGACGAAGACGACGACGACAACGACGACGACGCCGCACTGCGGATGCCCCATGGGGGTCGGGGAGGGTGTGGTGCGTAGGCCCGCTGTCGTCGACGACGATGACGGCGACGGCGACGGGCCCAGTGGTCTCCAGAGGCCTCGTTCCCGCGTGCCCAGAAACCCACCGGGACCCCCCCGCCCCAGGGCCTCGTTCCTCAGGGGCAAGCAGCGGCCAACAGCGGCCGCGAACACGACGACCACGCCGACGAAGACGTTGCCGCCGCCGCAGTCGCCGCGCGTGCGTGGCGTCCGGGGCTGCGTGCCTGCCGTGGTAGTGGATGAGTCGAATGCAGATGATGAGGATGAGGATTCGGATGAGGTCTTCGGAGGAGGCTAGAGCTCAAGCCCGCGCTCAGCGCGGGCGCGAGGACTGTCCTCCCTCAGGATTGCTCTTGGGCCTCCGGGGAGGGTGGCGGCGTATAAATTACCACCTTATACCCCGCCACCCTCCCTGAGGGTACATGCACAGTTCGTCGGAGGGCGTCTGCATATATATGTATATATATATATATACACGACTGCATTGGCGCTTCGCGCCATGCGCCTTGTTCTGGACGCTTCTCGGAGAAAGCAATAAGTCATCGCGTGTTTCAGCAGAGGGGGCGTCGAGGTCTGGACGGGCGACTGGCTCATTTTTCTGCTATCCCTGGACCTTGCTGACACTGCGTTCGCCCGATGGGCTTGCACGACTGTGCGCAGAAGTGGGGAGGAAAAGGTGATTTTTCACGCGCGAAAGTGCTGGCACACGACGAAGCATCAAACGGTTGCGATGGCACCTGTTTACGAAAAGGGGAACGGGGAGGGAGCAGGGGTCTTCAGGCGCGGAAGAGGGGAAGAGGGGGGAGAAACGGGGAGAAGGTCCAGAGGAAGGAGCGGGCGAATGAGGATGGCCATCCGATGCCAAGGACGTGGAGGTCGACAAAGAAGGCAGTCAAGGGGGACGGGAGAGAGAGAGAGAGAGAGAGAAAGAAAGAGAGAGAAAAGAGAGAGAAAAGAGAGAGAGAGAGAGAGAGGTGAAGGCCGAGACCTCCTGCTCCTCCGTAGGACGACGACGACGACGACGACGACGACGACGACGACGACGACGACGATTGGGTCGCTTCCTGATTGCCTGGAGGGGTCCTGGACGCTTGTGGGGTTTCTGAGGTCCTTTCGAACCACCGTCCTGCGAACTACGGTATCGTGGAGTGTAAGAGAATTGCTGGAAGCTGTGTTGGAACGGTGTGGACCCGCGTTTGAACTCCTGGTGATTCTCTGGACCAGAGGACTCCTTTTGGGGCTGTTTTAGGCCGTCTTGGAACTCCTTTGGGCCGTCCCGGAACCCTCTTTTGGCCGTTTTGGGAGGCCGGGCCGGTCAGGGGCCTTTCGGGGGCCCCCTTGGGACACTCTTGGGAGCCTCCTGTGGCTCTCTTGGGGCTCTCTTGGGAGTTCTCGGGGCCCTCTGGGGCTTCTCTTGGGCCGCCCTTGGCTTCTCTTGATCCGTCTTGGAGCTCTTTTGGGCCGCGTTGGGCCGCTCATAGAGGCCTCGAAGGCCGTCCTGGGGCGATCTTGAGAGTCTCTGGGGATGCCGTGGACGCTGTGAACGCAGAAAAAGGGAATATCTTCGAAAGCGCACGGTTCCTCAGGGAATCGGACGATTTGGGGCTCTTGGGGTTTCCTTCTGGGGCCTCTTGGACCGTCTTGGGGGCCTCGTGGGCCGTCTTGAATCAGATCGGGTCCTCTTTGAGCGCTGATGGGCCGTCTTGGGGCCCGTTTTGGGCCCGTGGGCTCCGATCGGCAGGGGCGTCCAACTGCCCGGAAGGCCGCCGGGCCTCCGAAAGGGCGTCCAGGGCGTTTGTTGGGTGGAGGGCAGGGGCGTCTGGGGTGTCCTGGGGGGGGGGTCCGGTTTAGGGTGGGGTGTGGGGGAGGGGCTTCCGGGTAATAAAGATATAAGAATAGGAATCTATCTCAGAGTGAGGGTGGCGAACGGTCATTCGTTGTCCCTGGGCGCGTGGCCGAATCTAGAGAATATGGTGAGGATTATGCTTGTTGCGTTGTTGTTGTTGTTGATGTTGTTGTTGTTGTTGTTGTTGTTGTTGTTGGTATTGTTGATGTTGTTGTTGTGATTGTTGTTGTTGTTGTTGTTGTTGTTGTTGTTGTGATTGTTGTTGTTGTTGTGGTTGTTGTTGGTGGTGTTGGTGTTGGTGTTGGTGTTGGTGTTGGTGTTGGTGTCTCTGCCATTGTCGCTGTCATTGTCGTTGTTGTTGTTGTTGGTGTTGTTGTTGTTGTTGTAGTTGGTGGTGTTGGTGTTGGTGTTGTTGTTGTTGTTGTTGCTGTTGCTGTTGCTGTTGTTGTTGTTGTTGTTGTTGTTGTTGTTGTTGCTGTTGTTGTTGTTGTTGTTGTGATTGTTGTTGTTGTTGTTGTCTTGTTGTTGTTGTTGCTGCTGCTGTTGCTGTTGAACTCTCACTTCTGAAGAATAATTATTGTTGATTCCCCCGTCCGGTGCATTGCTTTTTCTCGATTGAAGTGCCCTTTCCGGGGCTCGCACCCTGTTTTTTATCAGGGAAAGTATTGAGGGTCAAACTGTGTCGTTGGTCCCCTCGTTACAACAACAACAACAACGGCTCCCGCCTGAGACTTCCTCACAATTTAGCCAGGACCCCCGCTCGCGCCCGAGACTTCCGCGCTCCCGACACCCAGGCACCCAGGAGTCGCGCTCACGTTTAGGACTCCCTCACAGATTACCTAAGAATCGGGATCCCGCTGCCCTTCGTGGCCCCCTCGCTTTGTTTCGTGGCCCCGTTGCAGCCCTTCGTGGCCACCTCGCTGCCCTTCGCGGCCCCGTTGCAGCCCCTCGTGGCCTCCTCGCTGCCCTTCGTGACCCCGTTGCAGCCCTTCGTGGCCCCCTCGCTTTGTTTCGTGGCCCCGTTGTAGCCCTTCGTGGCCCGTCGCAGCCCTTCGTGGCCCCGTGCAGCCCTTCGCGGCCCCTTCGCTGCCCTTCGTGGCCCCCCCGCTGCCCTTCGTGGCCCCATATATGTATGCCCTTCGTGGCCCCCGCTCGTTCGCGCCCGTGGTGGCCCCATATGCATGCCCTTCGTGGCCCCGCTGTCGCCCTTCGTGGCCCCCTCGCTGCCCTTCGTGGCCCCGTTGCTGCCCTCAGTGGCCCCGTCCTTGCCCTCCGCGGTCTAGAATACGTATGCCCTTCGTGGCCCCCGTTCGGTCGCGCCCGTTGTGGTCCCATGTGCATGCCCTTCGTGGCCTCGTTGTCGCCGTTTGTGGCCCCCTCACTGTCCTACGTGGCCCAGTTGCTACCTTCAGTGGCCCCGTCGTTGCCTTCTGTGGCCCCGCATGATCTGCCCTTCGTGGCACCCGATCGTTCGCGCCCGTCGTGGCCCCATGCGCATGCCCTTCGTGGCCCCGTTGTCGCCCTTCGTGGCCCCCTCCCTGCCCTTCGTGGTCCCGCTGTCGCCCTTCGTGGCCCCCTCGCTGCCCTTCGCGGCCCCGTTGCTGCCCTCAGTGGCCCCGTCCTTGCCCTCCGCGGCCCAGTGTACGTATGCCTTTCGTGGCCCCCGCTCGTTCGCGCTCTTCGTGGCTCCATACGCATTCCCTTCGTGTCCCCGCTGTCGCCTTTCGTGGCCTACTTCGTGTCCTTGTGGCCCTGTTGTCGTTCTCTCTCGCTCTCGCTTTCGCTCGTCGTCGTCGTCGGCGTGGTCGGCGTCGTCGTCGACGTCGTCGTCGTCGTCGTGGTCGGTCCCCTGTCCGTCCCTCTTGGGGTCGGGTCGACGGTCCGCGGCCGCCCCGCCGATCAGCGTTGCTGCTGGCCAGGCCGACGGTCCGCGGCCGCCCCGCCGCTTGCTGGGGCCCGGCCTGCAAGGCAGAAAGGTATACCCCCCAAAAGGCGTTCGATCGAAGACGAAGAGGGCGAGTATCGAGGGTTTGGGAAATACGTGTTATTGGACACTCGAGCAGATCAGGGCGAACAGTCTAAAATGATTGTTTTTGTTGGTGTTGGTGTTGGTGTTGGTGTTGTTGTTGTTGCTGCTGCTGCTGCTGTTGTTGTGTTTGCTGTTGTTGTTATGGTTGATGTTGTTGTTGTTGTTGTTGCTGCTGCTGTTGCTGATGTTGGTGTTGTTGGTGTTGTTGTTGCTGCTGCAGTGTTCTTGTTAGTGTTGTTGTTGTTGCTGTTTGTTGTTTGTTGTTTGTTGTTTGTTGTTTGCTGTCGTCGTCTCCCCCGTTACCCACCCCGCGACCCACCCCGCGATCCACTTGCGACCCACCCCGCGACCCACCCGCGACCCAACCCGCGACCCACCCGCGACCCACCCCGCGACCCACCCCGCGACCCACCCGCGACCTACCCGCGACCAACACCGCGACCCACCCGCGACCCATTCCGTGACCCATCCGCGGCCACCCGCGACCCACCCGCGACCCACCCCGCGACCCACCCAGGACCCACCCCGCGACCCACCCCGCGACCCACCCGCGACCCATCCCGCGGCCCACCCGCGACCGATCCACATTGGTTTGAAGAAAACATCGGCGCCTGCGGCGGGCTTGTCGTATGATTCGTGAAACTTTGGCGCCTGTGGCGGGCTTCTACAGAGTCCCGCAGACTGCCGACGTCCCCACCGCCCCCTCACACTTATTTGCATCTGCGGGGTGCTATACACGCCGGTCGTTCAAAGTAGGTATTTGTGGACTCCCAGATCCCATTCTACTTCAAGCGCCTTCCTACTTCAAGAATCGACACGCTTTTGCTGTGTTCTGCTGTTCCCTGGGGGGGGGGAGTTGGACCCAATCCACTCCGTCCGCCTTCCCACTTTAGGTTTCTACCTGCTTCTTCCGACCGACGTGTGTATTTTGTTAGGCGTTCGTGGCACAGCACAGCCAGGGATCGGTTCGACGATGCCCGCGAGGGCAGCCCCGCGGCCCGGCCGCCGCCCTGGGCGGTGCGCGGCGCGCTGTGCCTCGCCGCGGCCTGCGGCGCCGCCGGCCTGGCCGCCGCCGCGCGGCACCGCCGGGGCGGCGGGCCGCCGCCCCGGTCCCTCGTGGTGCCGCAGGCCGGGGGTCGGGGGCCCCCGAAACGGGGCGGTGACCACACCGTGCGGCGAGTCGGTGGTCACCGCGCGGTGTTGGGACTCGAGTCCCTCTCCGAGGACGTCTCGGGCGGCAGGGTCCCCCACCGCACCGTGTCGAGGCTCCAGATAGGGTGGGGCGGGGCAGCAACCCCGACGCCCTCGAGTCTGGAGGGAGTCACGACGGGTGGCTTTTCTTGTTTGTTTGTTTTTTCTATTTTCAGCCTCGAGACGGGGGTCAATGTAGACGGGGATCAGCCAGGGCACCAGATCCTGCAGGATCCTGCGAAGACCCCCTCTGGCTGACCCGGGTCAGCGAGCCGCTCGTGGCCGCGAGGCGGCCGCGCCTATTGGTCGACTCGGGTTTGCGAAGACCTGCGTTGCAGTTTGTTGTTTTCCTGCATTGCAGTTTTTTGGTTTCCTGCAGACCCAGGTCTGGATTGACCTGGGTCAGAAGATCCCCGAAGGCCGGGGGGGTGGGCAGCAACCCCGACGCCCTCGAGTCCGGAGAGAATCACGCGGGAGGGTGTTTCTTGTTTGTTTGTTTGTTCTATTTTCAGCCCCTGGGGGCCCTCGCTGGGCCTCGGGGCCGTCCACGGAGAGAGGCAGGATGGAAAGCAGGTCGTGTAGCATGCGTCCGGGGCTCAGGGGTTCGCGTCGGGATGCAATCATGACGCCTGGTATTTGGGAACAGCAGGACATTGAGATCCGGGCGTTGCCATTTAAAAGTGGTCGTTTGTTCAGGACTTTCCGCATATGACTTGGTTTTGAAACTGGCGCTGGCAGTTGGGGTCTAGGGGCTGTGGTGGTGCTTTTTTTATGATGTGCCAGTTTTGCAGCACCATCGGACAAGGGCTGTGCTTTCGTGCTCAGGCGCGTGTCGTAGGTACCTGGGCCAAACTCCCTTCCAACGGCTACGATCGTACGCGGAGGGGGGGCTTGGGCCCCACTCCAACATGCTGGTGCTCTTTCGCATGCGATGGCGATCACAGCGCATCCGTGCCACGACGTGCCCGGCCTCGCCCGCGTTACCAATACCCGGGGCCCCAGCCTCCTCCTGGGCAGCGACCGTTGCCAGATATATTTCAGCACGACCTCTAGTTAGCTTTCGGGGGCCCACTTCATCGCCACGGTTGGACGCAGCTCGGGACCTTGGTGCGTTTGGACTTTGGGGGAGATTCAGACCGATTTTGAGCTACCGTTGTCGGGGCCAGATCCCCGCTCGCCATGAAAGCTCAGGACGGTCTGTTTGTGTTGCTCCTTTCTGGCCCGGAGGGCCCTCGCTGGGCCCTGGGAATTTCAAGAACTGATTCAGGAGGAACAGTTGGTCCTGGGGAATGGGTCGAGACCTCTTTGGGCGCACGAAGTGGGAAAATCAGGTCCTCTGGTCAGGGGGCGGCCCCTGCCCCGGGTTCACCAGTTCGGGCCCCCAGGAGGGCCGCGACCAGCTCGAGCCCCTGCCCGCGAGCACCGCGCCGTACGAGCTCCGGCGGAGGACTGGGTGTGGGAACTGGGCGGAGATCCTGCTGGGGAGCGGGGTGCTGGTTGCGGGCGCGGAGGAGTGTGCGTCCAGGTGCACCCAGCGCGGCGACTGCAGGGCCTTCAACTACCAGTCCGGGGGCGTGGCGCTGCACTGCCACGCCGCCAAGGAGGCGAGCAAGGCTGGCAAGGGCTGGTGCTACCTCTTCGCCGAGGGGTGCCAGACCGGGGCCGACAAGTGCAACGACCTGTACGTGCCGCGCACGGCCGGCGTGAACTTCACGCTGGCGCGCCAGGGGACTGGGTGCGCCAATTGGGAGAGGATAGGCATGGGCGAGACGACGGTGGCCGGAAGCGCTAGGCAGTGCGCTGGCTGGTGCTCCGCCTCCGCTGGGTGCAGGGGCTTCAACTGGCAGCCGAGCGCCTGCTCGGATGGCGAGCAGGTGCAGCGGGGTGCCTGCATCCTGTTCCGGAGCCTGTGCGCGGTGGAGGAGAACGCCTGCTGGGACATGTACGAGGTGAACGGCCTCTCTCTCCTGGAGCTCACGGACGCACTGCGGCCCGGCTCTTTCGCCGACCCGGAGGAGGCCCTGGCGCAGTTCCCAATCACCGTGCCTGGCTGCGACCTCGCGGAGCTCACGCTGGAGGCGAACGTGGACCTGCAGGAGCTCTTCCTGGACAGGGTCAAGGGCACGGTCGCTGGGGCCCTTGCGAACGAGGGGCTGGAGACCGGGAGCATTGCCGTCGAGCTGTTCGACGGCAGCGGCTCGGTCATCGCGAACTGCGTGATCAAGACCGGGGACGTGGCCGCAGTTGCCAGTGCGCTCACCGCGAGGAAGGGCGAGATCGCCTCCGATGTCTGCTCCGCGCTCGCGGCGGCGCCAGGCCTGGCCAGCGTGGCCTGCCTGGGGGAGGGCGCCTGCAGTGCTGGCGGCGCGATCGTCGCGAAGCTGGCGGACGGCTCCGCTGGAACGTCGGCGCCGACGCTAGCTCCCACGCCTCCGTCCACCGTGGCCACAACTTCGACCTCCACGTCGGCCACCGAGGCTTCGACGAGCACGTCGGCCACAGAGGCTTCGACGAGCACGTCGGTCACGGAGGCTTCGACAGGCACCTCGTCCACCGTGGTCTCGACAAGCTTGCCCGAGCCAGCTCTGGAGATCTCGACGACCGTAACGTTGAGCACGCCCGAGCCAGCTCTGGAGATGTCGACGACCGCAACGTTGGCGACCACCACCATCACCGAGACTACCGCCGGCAGTCTTCGGACCTCAGGGGCAACGATAGGGGGGGATGGGCATAGGGGGGACGCATCGACCCCCAATCGCCCATTGATCGCCGACAGGGGCACAATAGCCCCATCCTGCCAAGGAACGTGCGGATTCACGATCGGGGGCCTATCGACGATCTATCTGCGATGTATTGCCGATTTCAGGTCGATGTGTACACCCCCCCCCTTTGCCAGTCCCACCTATCGTTGCCCCTCAGGACCACCTTCACGCTCCCCGCCGGGTCGATCCCAGACGACCCGGAGGCAGCGGCCGCCGTCCTGAAGAGGTTGGCGGAGGTGCTCGCCGAGGAGACCGGCGCGCACGCCTCTGCCTCCCTGGGCCAGCAGCACGAGCGGCGGCTCAGCGCGGCCGCGTCGGGGCAGGAGTCAGGGGCAACGATTGGGGGGATACGTACTTGGATCGCCGTGGGGGTGCTATGCGGCTATGCGGATACGGGGGCATAAGTGGAGGTGCAGGCAGGTCATGTCTAGCTTCCTGCGGCAAGTCCCGCCACCGTGCCAGCCCCGCATACTGGGTTGCGACTGTTCGAAGGGGTACGGAAGGCTGTCACGTGTGACACCTCGGATCTCCAGGCTTAGGAGAGTTGTGGAGGTGATGATGATGATTTTGATGATGATGATTCTGATGATGACGATGATGACGATGATGGCGATGGCGATGACGATGGTGATAATGACGATGGTGATGGTGATGATGATGATGATGATGATGATGATGATGATGTTGATGTTGATGATGATAAGGATGAAGGGGAGCAGGAGGAGGAGGATGAGGAGGAGGAGGGGGAGGGGGAGGATGATGATGTTGAGAGGACGAGGATCTGAGGATGAGGAGGAGGAGGATGGTGAAGAGGAGGATGATGAGGGTGATAATAATGATGATCATGATGGTAATGATGATCGTGCGGTGGTGTTTATGGTGGTGAGTTTGGTGATACTGATGATGGTGACGCTGATGAGGCGGAGGGTGGTGGTCATGGTCACGATGATGAGGATGATGATGATGCCGATGATGATGATGATGATGATTATGATGATGACGATGATGATGATCATGATCATGATCATGATCATGATGATCATGATCGTGATGATCATGATGATGATGATGATCATGATCATGATCATGATTATGATGCCGATGCTGATGCTGATGATGATGATGATGATGATGATGATGATGCTGCTGATGCTGCTGACGCTGATGATGCTGAGGTCAATGATGATGGTTTTGATGCTGATGATGCTGACGATGATGCTGATGATGACGATAATGATGATGATGATGATGATGATGATGATGATGATGATGATGATGATGATGATGATGATGATGATGATGATGATGATGATGATGATGATGATGATGATGATGATGCGGTTGTCGCTGTTGATGGTCATGGTGATGATGATGAGGATGATGATGAGGAGAGGTAGGAGGAGGAGGAGGAGGAGGAGGAGCACTGGGAAGAGGAGGAGGAAGGAAGGAAGGAAGGCCGTTACATGTGACACCTTTCGCCTTCACTTTTTCCCGGAAAGGGCACAGGCCCAGGGTTCTCTTTTCGAGGTTTACCCCCGGATCTGACGGCTGATGGGCCGGCGAATTTCTTTTGCGATAAATAACGAGGTCGCGTAGGTTCAAGCGAATCAAACTTTGAGGATGTCTCGAGCGAAACGCTTGTTTTTCAGAATTTGTTGAGGATGTCTCGAGCGAAACGCTTGTTTTGTGTTATAGATTGTCCTCTCCTGGGGACTAGAATTCAGATGATCTCTCAAGTGAAATGTGTGTTTTCACGTGCCCAGATCTTGAGGATGTCTCGAGCGAGACGCTTGGTTTCACGCCTCCAGGTTGCCCAGGCAGAGGTCTAGCGCCAGGATTTGTTGAGGATGTCTCGAGCGAGACGCTTGCTTTCACGCGTCCTCGTCGCCCAGGCGTATGTCTAGCATGAGGATGTGTTGAGGAAGTCTCGATCGAGATGCTTGTTTGCACGTGTCCAGGTTGCCCAGGCGGATGCCTAGCATGAGGATGTGTTGAGAACATCTCGAGAGATACGCTTGTTTTCACGTGTCCAGGTCGCCCAGGCGGATGTTTAACATGAAGATGTGTTGAGGATGTCTCGAGCGAGACGCTTGCTTTCACGTGTACAGGTCGCCCAGGCGGATGTCTAGAATGAGGAGGTGTTGAAAACGTCTCGAGCGAAACGCTTGTTTTCACATGCCCAGGTCACCCAGGCGGACGTCTCACATGAAGATGTGTTGAGGATGTCTCGAGCGAACCACTTGTTTTCACGCGTCCACTTCGCCCAGGCGGATGTCTAGCATGAGAGTGTGTTGAGGATGTGTTGAGCAAAACGCTTGTTTTCACGTGTCCAGGTCGCTCAGGCGGATGTCTAGCATGAGGATTTTGACGGGACGTCTCGAGCGAAACGTTTGTCCCCAGCACGTTCCGTAGGGCGTCCCCTTGGCACGTCCCGCGGTGCGACCCCATGGCACGTCCCCTGGCACGTCGCTTGGCGCGTCCCTTGAGACGTTCCGCGGCGCGTCCTCCTGGCATGCCCCCCCTGTCAATTGGCGCTGGGGCAGCTACTATGTGTTCAGGCAGCTCGAGCTTAAGATCCAGATCAGTTCGGTCAGGACTCGGATACAAAGGATGACTCGATCCACGTGGCTATAGAGCACACTCGCGGCATGGCACATCGCAGTTCATCACGGCGCAGCACAGCACAGAAGTCGGCACGGTACATGAAGATCGATATTCTCAGCATTGTGACCTGGCACGTTCCTTGGCACGTTCCGTGGGGCGTCCCTTGGCGAGTTCCCCTGGCACGTCGCGTGGCGCGTCCCCTGGCACATCCCGTGGCATATCCGTTGGCACGTTCCGTAGCGCGTCTCCTTGGCGCGTCCCGCGGTGCGACCCCATGGCACGTCCCCTGGCACGTCGCCTGGCGCGTCCCTTGGGACGTTTCGCGGCGCGTCCTCCTGGCAGGTCCCCCTGTCAATTGGCGCTGGGGCAGCTACTAAGTGTTCAGGCAGCTCGAGCTTAAGATCCAGATCAGTTCGGTCAGGACTCGGATGCAAAGGAGGACTCGATCCACGACGCTATAGAGCACAATCGCGGCATGGCACATCGCAATGTATTCCGGCGCAGCACAGCACAGCCCTCGGCAGGGGACATCAAGATCGATACACTCAGCATTGCATTTGCCCGTCACCCAATCAGGTGTCTTTGACATCGCTGCCATGCGTTACATTTCTATATTCCTTTCCGGGTTCGCGGGTCGATCATGTTGAGGAGCTCTCCTGGAACTCGTTTGGGCCGTATGGTGGCTGTCTTGGCCTCCTGTGAGGCAGTCTTGAGGCCCCCTGTGGAGCCCTCTTGTGTCGTTTTGGGGACCTCTTAGGCCGTCTTGGGGCTTTCTTGGTCGTGGCCGTCTTGATCTGACGAATGAATGAATGAATGAAGCCGCGTGTCCGTAGGCACGTGAGCAATGGCACGAGCGTGCGCTAGACAGTATATTTGCGCACCGCTGCTTTCCAGGCTTACGCTGGAAAGGTGCCCAAATCTGAAAAGTTCCAACCAGAATTGCGACAAATCTGCTTAGCATGCTTAGCCAATTCTGTTGCCCACGCCTGCCGGGGCCTGCCCCTCTTCCGGCGGCCGGGCGCCTGCGCCAGCTCAGAGGATGAAGGCTGGAAGACTGCCATGTGGACAGGATGGTCGTCGGCCTTGCGTGCGATTTCCCCGAACAGGATCAGCTGCCGTCGCAGCAAGAGGTCGCTTAGCTTGTCCAGCTCGCTGCAACACCGCGGCGTTGGTGACTCGACTGACATAAGAATGCCTGATGCCGAGGATTCTCCGCAGGCACCGCGCCTGAAAAGCACTCAACCTGGCCAGTGCGTGCTGGCGCAACCAAGATGTGTGGAGGCTGTACAGCAGCGTCGACTCGACGCACGCAAGGTACACGGTGATCTTTCTCTTGGTAGACATAGAAGAATGAGACCAAACACGTTGTAAATAATCGAACTCGGACCTGGCTCGGCTGATCCGCCGGCTCAATTCTGCACCGACAGAACCATCAAATGTCAAGACGCTTCCCAAGTATATCATGCTCGTCTTCTGTGGGATTGGGTCGCCGTCAGGCCTAAGTATAGCATGGGCGTTGCACCCAGTGGCCATGAGCTCGAGCTTCCGCCAGTTGTACTTCAAGCCGAAGTGAGCTCCGGCGTCTGCGATGGTCTTCATGTATTCCTCCGCATCCGCAGCGCTGGAAGCCACAATCAAGGTGTCGTCCGCATATACCAGGTCATTGACGCCCTCGGCCAGGTCACCGAACGCGTTCTTCGCGCCCCAGCGGTCTGATGGAGGCCCGGAAAGGCGAGAATACAGCATCAAACAACAACCTGAGGGGAATCAGTGATTTGGGCCCTGCTGGACGTCCTGTTGAAGCCCTTTTCAGGCCCTCTTGGAGACATCCTAGGCCGCCTTGAGGCCAAATTTGACAGCCTTGGGGCCACGCTGGCCCGTCTTCGAGGCATCTTGGGCCATGTCGGTTGCCTTCGTTGCATGCCTGGGCCTGGGCCGTCTTGGAAGCTCGGGAAGGGGACGCCTCGTTTTTGTTACGAAGGGTCGTGGTTTTGGGAGCGCGGATCGAGTTCTCCATGCGGGAGCGTGGCCTCGGGACCAGGGTCGATGTATGCATCTATCTCGCGATCTAGGGCGGTTCTTTTATCATGCAGCAATATTGCAGAGCAGCACTTGGCATCATATCGCGCCCGCATCGTGCAGGTACGGTGGCGGATCTAGCCAGACCTGGTTTATCAGTGGTTCACAATGTGAAAATGGCTTCGATAGGTTCGAACATTCCCCTTTCATTCGCGGAGCTCACGTAGCCCATATCTTCACCGACCTAAGCCATTTAGGGCAGTTCGGACCGAAGTATGAGCAGTCTCAGGCCATCAATACACCACATTGACATCCACCTGTATGCCCATTGTCATTGCCGCTATCCCGTTGGTCACCACCGTGGTGACTCAAGTGGGCTCAGGGAGGATGTATTGACCTCGCACGGCCGATACATCGTCGGTGCATGCTATTCTCGATATCGACGCATCCCCCCTATGTCAATCCCCCTCATTTCGGCGGCGAACCCAGGGGTGTAGTGACAGGGGGCAGGCCTTCTCAGAAGGCGGCGGGGTTGTTCCCACGCCACCGCGCCTTCGGAGAAGTCTTCTAAGCCTCCTCCGAAGCCGCAGGCGGCCCCCCAGGAGGCGCGATGGCTTCCGAGAAGTCCCACCGCCTTCTGGGAAGGCCTGCCCCGTCTGACTTCCCCCCCCGGTTCGCCGCCGACCATGGTTCTGCCACTCGAGGAGGTGGAGGTTACCTTCGACCCCGGCTCCCCAGAGCTCGCCGCCCTGCTCGACGAGCGGCGAGACGAGCTGACGTCCAAGCTCTCCGAGACCGCCGCGGCCGCGGCGCGGGAGGCCGAGGACTCCAGGGCGCCGGGCGCGGCGACGTCGGCCAGCAGCGCCGACTGCGGGGACGGCGGCGACCATTTCGACGCCATCGTCTACGCTGTGCTCGGGGTCGGGGCGGTCGGGGCCCTGCTGCTGTGCGGCTACGCGGCCGTGGCTCTCAGGGGCAACGTCAGGGGGGACGTGCTCAGGTGAGCGTTTTTTTTTTCTCCCCAGAATGTCGCTCGTTACGCGGGCCGACTTCCCCCCTTCCCCCCCTCCCGGGGTAACGCGAATGATCGTACTGTGGGGGTGGCCTGGACCCCTCTCCCCCTGCATGCTGTGGCGCACACAGGCGATTGATGCGCCGGTGGCGCGGACGCACCCTGATGGGTGCATGCCGCGGCCGCCGTTACCGTTACCCTCCCGCCCGACTCCCCCCCCCCTGGGTAACGGCTGTTACCTACGAAAAAAACAAACAAATGGACACCAGAGGGGGGTTGGAGGTTCGAAGTTTTCGAGGTTGAGGCTTTCTCACGTTCTCGTGGGTTCTCGGCGGTGTTCTCCAGCATCGCCGAGGTCGTTCCGGGCGTTCCAGGATCATCCCGAGTGGCCGCCGGAGAGCCGCGCTGTGACCCGAGAGCCAGAGGGCAACGTCAGGGAGAGGTGGGCTCCGGGGGGGCGCATCGGCCCCCAGTCGCCCACTGTTCGCCGCACGCTCCTGGGGCGGGCTGGGACCGCTGTCCCAGCCCGCCCAGGAGCGTGCGCAGTCGCCATCGGGGGCCTCTCGCTGGTCTGTCGGCGCGGTATCGCCGATTCTGGCTCCGTCTCCTCCCCCACCCCTGAGCTGCCCCCCCCTACTGTCGGATTGGGCTGGGCCAGGGATAAAATCGTTCCAGAGCGTTCCGGAGCGCTCGGAGAGCGTTCCGGGACGCTTTGAGAAGGTCGCGGCACCCGATACATCTTCCAGAACCGCCGTATCTCAGATATCACCGATTTATCCCCGTCCGATGTCACTGCCCTGGCCTTGTCTTGTAACGTTCCCTGCGAACCGACGGCGCAACAAAAATGCGACACCGTAGAGCCCCAGACCCCTTCTTCCTGCGCCTATTCTCGAGTCGGATCGATCTCAGAGGGTCCCGGGGCCCAAGGCCGGGCGAACAATCCGCCTGGCCCGAAGAGCTCGAGGCGCCAGGATCTCAGGGCCCCCCCCCCCCCCCTTTCAGGCTTGCTGCCACGAGGCCAAGAAGCGGGGGCGCGAAAGCCCGCGCGAGGCCCGCGAGCGGCTGGTGCCGCCGGGCGAGCAGGCGCCAGGCGCGGGCGCCGACGAGGGGGCGGCGGTGCAGCGGGCGCAGAAGCTCCCCTCCGTGGGCCCTGGCGGCGCCGAGGCGGAGACGAACCTCGTGGAGGTTGGGTTCCGACGAAGGCATCTGTACACCACCACCGTGCCAGGCCAGGGCCATCCTGGGCCCCAGGATGGTGTATAGACCTCTTGGCCTCGGCCAGGAGGGCGTATACACCATCCTGGGGCCCAGGATGGCCCTGCCTTGGCACGGTGGTGTTGTATAGCTGCTTTCTGCGAATGGGTGGCAACTCATGGGAGCATTGGTTAGGGGAACGAAGAATGGCATAAACATAAAGACGCGCAGGTCCGCGCGGATTTCTCGGATCGGTGCTGGGGCCCCTTGGCGGCGCCTCCGGCGCCGCCCCTGGCGCGCTCCGCTCGCAAGGGAGGGGGGTCCAGCGCCGATCCGCGAAATCCGCGCGGACCTCCGAGTCTTTATGTTGTGTCATTTTGCCTTCCCCCATTGCAACTCATATGAGCCTTGGTGTGTGTTCTCGTGATTCCAGTCTTAGAGTGTATCGGCGTGCTCGATAGCGTCTGATCATCGATGGGAAAGCACCGATGTAGATGTAGCGTCGACTTAGCGTCGACTTCGCGGCGATCAGCGTCGACAAGCATCGACCCGCAAGACCCATCAAGATGGCACGGGAGGCTCCCGTGAGTTGCCACCGCCTCGTGCAGGGCGCGGCGGCCGGCGCCACGGCGCTGACTGTCAGGTCCACGAACGGCTTCGGCAGGTCGCCACGAGCGGAAGCTATTTTCTCCAGGGTCCGCGCGGAGTTCCTGGATCGGCAGCGGGCTTCCCTGGCGGCGCTGCTCCCTGGCGCGCTCCGCGCGCCAGGGAGGAGGGTCCAGCACCGATCCAAGAAATCCGCGCGGACCTCCGATGGGCGCCTCTTGGGGCCCTCTTGACGCGCTCTTGGGAGCCTTGGGAGCGCTGTTGGGGCCATCTTGGAGGACATCGATCAAACAAGCAGCGAGCACTAGTTAGCGTTGCCCCTCGAGAGCCCAACACATCGCCTCTTGAAAGTATGTTTGTGCCGCCTTCTGCTCTCCTGATGGGACCAGCAGGTCCTGAAGAAACGGTTTCTGAGGTGTTCTTCCGTTTTCGGTCTCCCATGTCAGAGGGAAGGATCAGAACGAAGAGTTGGTCCTGGAAGGCGACCCCTTGTCCAGGACCCGTTCCCGCAGGACCCTCTCCTCTGGCATCGTTCAGACGTGTGCATTTTCCTCTCGTCGAGAACCATCCAGGAGCCCTCCTGGGTCATCTTGCGAAAGAATACACGCACGAAACCGAAACATTCACGGGGAATGGGCGTCCGAGCGATGGCGAGTCCTCTGCATGTCAAGCAGGGGCGACCGGGTCCAGATCACGAGCCACCGGGGGAGCGAGACGAAGGTGGTCTGCGGCTTCGACGGCGACACGGGCGCCATGCTGGTGCACACCGGGCTCTTCTACGCCCACGCCATGGGCGCGTTCGTGAGCAAGGTGAGGGGCCCCCGGCCCGCCGACACCACGCCCACGGGCGTCGACGACGGGCCCCCAGAGGATCGCGGGCCCCCTGAGCTCTTGGGCCTCCCAGAGGGGGTCGGAGCAGGCGGGGTCGAAGGGGCGCGCCGCATCGCCGATGCATCGATGGTGCGGCTCGATGTGGAGCCCGATTTCCTCCACGCCGACGTCGCACCTGCATTGGCGATACTTCGGCGATGCGGTGCAGTCCGCCGACCCCGTCTGCTCCGACCCCATCTGGGAGACTCTATACACGGTGCGGGGACAGCACCGTGGGGTGAGTCGGCGGGAAGGTTTGGGGTGACCGCACGGTTTTGGGGACTTGGGCCGTTCTCCGAGGACGCCTCGAGCGGCTTGGGGGCCTCCGAGGTCCCAAAGAGTGGTGTGGTGATTGACCGCGCGGTAAGCTCGTTGCGGATTCCGAGGTCACCGCACGGTCTGTCGCCGCACCGTCCTGGGTTTCCCAGTTGGGATCGCCATGGGGAGTGCTAAGTGGATAGGGATTTATAAGTTGATGCTCAGGTAATTGGGTTACAAGTTCCCGAAGTGGCGTAGGTGGGTTCGACAATCGCTCACTTGGCCCTGATGTTTACCCCCTAAGCCACGTAGGCCATGTGTACCCACTTACCAAGCGAGGTTAGGCCAGATATGAGATACCTTAGCATCCACGTATAATCCCCCTATCCTCTCAGATCCCCAACGTCATGTTTTGTCACAACGTGGAGGCCACGGTGGTCTCGAATTATTCTCTACGACGGGCTTTTCATCCCGAGTCGTTTTTGACTGCGCCGTGGCCTCGTCAGGTGGACCGGAGGCAGAAAAATGCAAAATCATCCTGAGATCCAACGTTGCGAAAACAGATGGAAGCTGGAACAAAAACACGACTGAATTCTTGGATCCCATCTGCCTGCGCTATTTTGTGAAGGGGGGTAGGGGGTGGGCGGAAGGTCTTTGAAGCAACCCTGCTTCTTAGAAGTCGCGGGCCTTGTCTGTAGATGTAAGGCTGGCCCCGTCTCTAAGAAGCAGCCTCCTAAAAAGCCTTCCCCCCTATCCCGACCCCCCTCTGCGCGCCGCCACCGCCATCTGGCAAAATTGCCCGTTGCGAAAAAGTTAACCAGCTCTCAGGGGTTCCCCAAGAGGAGCCCGACGACGCACCCTAGCCTATAGGTCCCCTCCCGTCCCGAGCTCCCTCGCCGAGGGAGCCGACGGGGTGTTTCGTCCTTCGCCTGCCAGTCCTGCTGGGTACTCGCTCCTCTCTCCCCTCCCCCTCTCCGTCGCCGTCCTCCGTCCTCCTCCTCCCAGCTCCTCCCTCTCCCTCCCAAGAGGAGCCCGACGATGCGCCCCTGATGATTCCGCCCACGCCCCGGAGCTCCTCCAGCCGCTCGGGGAGCCACTGGAGCGGGCCGGGCGACGCCGCTGAGGCTGCGGGCTGGGCGGTCACGCTGGAGGCGGGCAGCGCGGGGAGGCCGCTGGGCCTGTCGCTGGTGCCTGTGGGGGACGTGTCCATCTCCACGCCCTCGCGGTCTGGATCCCGGGGCGCGACCCCGCGGATACGCGGTGGCACGGATGCGTTCCGCGCGTGGCATCCGCGATTAAAACGTCCTGTATCCGCGGGGCCGCGGATACGGAGACGTATTCTGCCCTCGAGGTGCCAGTGGAGGACGACGAGGGCGGGGCGCTGCTCGTGGAGGGGCCGAAGGGTCGCTCTCTCGAGGGCTGGGCGATTTTTTGCCAATCGACTTGTGAGGATCAAGCAGAATGCATCAAGACGCATGCAGATACATCGCGGCGAATCAAGGCACATCTGGGCAAACCAGGTAAATCCAGCGCGAACATCGAATCAGAAAAGTGTGCACAAAACATCAAAGTGAGGGGGCCGAACGGTCATTAATTGTCCTTGGGTGCGTGGCTGAATAGGGAACTTGTTGTGAGAATTCTGTTTGTTGCGTTGCTGTTGTTGTTGTTGTTGTTGTTGTTGTTGTTGTTGTTGTTGTTGTTGTTGTGGTTGTGGTTGTGGTTGTGGTTGTGGTTGTGGTTGTGGTTGTTGCTGCTGCTGCTGCTGCTGCTGTTGTTGTTGTTGTTGTTGTTGTTGTTGTTGTTGTTGTTGTTGTTGTTTTGTGTTGTTGTTGTTGTTGTTGTTGTTGTTGTTGTTGTTGTTGTTGAATTGTCATTTCTGAAAAAAAAAATTCAGGTTGATCCCCCCCACCGGTGCAGACTGTTTTTTCTCAATCAAAGTGTGCCCCTCGACGCTCGCTTGATGCTCAAACTGGCCCCCTGGCCCCCGGGTTACAACAACAACGGCTCCCGCCGGAGACTTCCTCACAATTTAGCCAGGACCCCCGCTCCCGCCCGAGACTTCCTCGCATTTGGTTCAGGAATCGCGCTCTCGCGTGGGACTTCCTTACAATTTATTTTGGAATCGCTCTCCCGGCGCTCTGGAGTCGCGCTGTCGCTAGAGACTCGCTTGCAACTTAGTGAAGAATGGCCTTGCGTTGGAATTTCCTGCAATTTGCCCAGGTGCCGCGCTCCCGACACCCAGGCACCCAGGAGTCGCGCCCGTTGTGGCCCCATGTGCATGCCCTTGGTGGCCCCGCTGTCGCCATTTGTGTCCCCCTCACTGTCCTACGTGGCCAGTTGCTACCCTCAGTGGCCCCGTAGTTGCCTTCTGTGGCCCCGCATTCTCTGCACTTCGTGGCCCCCGCTCGTTCGCGCTCTTCGTGGCCCCATACGCATTCCCTTCGTGTCCCCGCTGTCGCCCTTCGTGGCCTACTTCGTGTCCTTCGTGGCCCTGCTGTCGTTCTCTCTCGCTCTCGCTTTCGCTCGTCGTCGCTGTCGTCGTCGTCGCCGTCGTCTTCGACGTCGTCGTCGTCGTCGTCGTCGTGGTCGGTTACCTTTCCGTCCCTCTTGGGGTCGGGTCGACGGTCCGTCCGCGGCCGCCCCGCCGATCAGCGCTGCCGCTTGCCAGGCCGACGGTCCGCGGCCGCCCCGCCGCTTGCCGAGGCCCGGCCTGCAGGGAAGGAAGGTATACCCCCCAAAAGGGGCTCGATCGAAGACGAAGAGGGCGGGTATCGAGGTTTTGGGAAATACGTGTTATTGGACACTCGAGCATATAACGGCGAACGGTCTTAAAATGATTGTTGTTGTTGTTGTTGTTGTTGTTGCTGTTGCTGCTGTTCCTTTTGTTGTTGTTGGTGGTGTTGTTGTCGCTGTTGTTGTTGTTGAACATTATTACTTCTAAAAAATAATTATTGTTGGGGCCCCTGGTGCACGGCCCCCCCGCCGCGCCTAGGCCGCAGCCACATTTTCATTATTTTCGTGAGGAAGTCTCAGGCAAAACGGGTTGGTCCGGATCCGGTTGTTTTGTTCCCCCCCGCTTTCCCTTGCAAAAAATAAGCTAAAGTGGACATTTCTTGTTCTAACATAACCAAACTTCAAGAATCCCTTGCAAAAAATAAGGTAAAGTGGACATTCGCGCGCGCAAGACGAAATCCTTCCAAAACCTTAGTTTTCGTAGCGATTTTAACATAAAAACATTTAAAAAAAAAAAAAAAAAAAAAAAAAAAAAAAAAAAAAAAAAAAAAAAAAAAAAAAAATGTTTTTTATATATATATATATATAAAAAAAAAACTTGTCAGAATTTCATCCCGCGCGCTCTTGCGGATTCGTAGGAAACCCAACACTTTTTAAACATTTCTGTCAAACGGGCTTTTGCGAGCAACTTTTTCGAACTTCTGCAACAACGGTTGCGCACCTGCCAGGGCCATCATCCCTGTCAAATAATACCATGCGGGACACATTCGTTTTTTCTTCGCGCGCGCACGCCGTCGTCGTCGGCCGCGGGGCCCTGAATAGTAGCCACGGTCGTCCGCATGCCACGAAGTGAAGTGTCCGAACGTCATAGGGCGGGAAGCTGGGTGTGGGTGGTGGCGAAGAGTCGTTTGGAAATTTGGTAGAGCTTGAACCGGCCCCCCCACAAAGTGGGGGTATTGCCCGCCTCCTATGAAAACCCTGGCACTGGTGAGAACGGAGTGTCCCCACGTGCTAGTAATTGTTGTTGTTGTTGTTGTTGTTGTTGTTGTTGTTGAATTCTCACTTCTGAAGAATATTTATGGTTGATCCCCCCACCGGTGCAGTCGACGCTCGCACCGTGTTTTTTGACAGAGGAAGTCTTGATGCTCAAACTGGCCCCCTGGCCCCCGGGTTATAACAACAACGACTCCCGCTTGAGATTCCCTCACGATTTAGCTTGGACCCTCGCTCCCGCCCGAGACTTCCTCGCATTTGATTGAGGAATCGCGCTCTCGCCGGGGACTTCCTTACAATTTATTCAGGAATCGCTCCCCCGACGCTCTGGAGTCGCGCTCTCGCTAGAGATTTGCTTGCAATTTACTGACGAATAGCGCCCTTGCGTTGGTTTCATTTTGCAATTTACTCAAGCGCCGCGCTCTCGGCACCCAGGCACCCAGGAGTCGCGCTCACGCTCAGGACTCCCTCGCAGATTACCGAGGAATCGGGATCACGCTGCCCTTCGTGGCCCCGTTGCAGCCCTTCGTGGCCCCCTCGCTTTCTTTCGTGGCCCCGTTGCAGCCCTTCGTGGCCCCCTCGCTTTGTTTCGCGGACCCGTTGCAGCCCTTCGTGGCCCCCTTGCAGCCCTTCGTGGCCCCGTTGCAGCCCTTCGTGGCCCCTTCGCTTTGTTTCGTGGCCCCGTTGCAGCCCTTCGTGGCCTCCTCGCTGCCCTTCGTGGCCCCGTTGCAGCCATTCGTGGCCCCCTCGCTCTGTTTCGTGGCCCCGTTGCAGCCATTCGTGGCCCCCTCGCTTTGTTTCGTGGCCCCCTCGCTGCCCTTCGTGGCCCTCTCGCTGCCCTTCGTGGCCCCGTTGCAGCCCTTCGTGGCCCCGTTGCAGCCCTTCGTGGCCCCGTTGCAGCCCTTCGTGGCCCCCTCACTGCCCTTCGTGGCCCCGTTGCAGCCCTTCGTGGCCCTCTCGCTGCATTTCGTGGCCCCATATATGGTCCCGGGCTCCGGGCCCACGGCCGCCCCCCCCCAGATGGTATGGCCCCAGGATTCTTTGGGCCCCCCCCCCAGACTAATGGTCCCAGAGACGACGACGACGACGATGACGACGACGGCGGCGGCGACGACTACGACGACGACCGCGACGACGACGACGACGACGACGACGACGACGGCTGCGGCGGCGACGACGCCGGCGGCGGCGGCGGCGACGACGACGATGACGACGATGACGCCGGCGACGACGATGACGACGACGATGACGACGACGACGACGACGACGACGACGACGACGACGACGACAAGGACGACGAGGACGACGAGGACGAGGACGACGAGGAGGACGACGACGACGACCTCGGAACCACCACAGCACCACACCACATCCTCAGGGGGGGGGAGGGGGGCACCGCAGCGCAGCACCACGCCACGCCCACTTCTGAACCACCACAGCACCACACCACATCCACAGGGGGCGGAGGGGGGTACCGCAGCGCAGCACCACGCCACGCCCACGGGGGGGGGGGGGCGGGGGGGACCATCGCGCGGGGTGGGGGGGGCCCAATGGCATCAGCATTGGGGGGGGTGGGGGGGGCAAGCCCTGGACCATATATGTATGCCCTTCGTGGCCCCCGCTCGTTCGCGCCCGTGGTGGCCCCATATGCATGCCCTTCGTGTCCCCGCTGTCGCCCTTCGTGGCCCCCTCGTCGCACTTCGTGGCCCCGTTGCTGCCCTCAGTGGCCCCGTCCTTGCCCTCCGCGGCCCAACATACGAATGCCCTTCGTGGCCCCCGCAAGTTCGCGCCCGTTGTGACCCCATGTGCATGCCCTTCGTGGCCCCGCTGTCGCCGCTCGTGGCCCCCTCACTGTCCTACGTGGCCCAGTTGCTTCCCTCAGTGGCCCCATCGTTGCCTTCTGTGGCCCCGCATTATCTGCACTTCGTGGCCCCCGCTCGTTCGCGCTCTTCGTGACCCCATACGCATTCCCTTCGTGTCCCCGCTGTCGCCCTTCGTGGCCTACTTCGTGTCCTTCGTGGCCCTGCTGTCGTTCTCTCTCGCTCTCGCTTTCGCTCGTCGTCGTCGTCGTCGCCGTCGTCGTCGTCATCGTCACCGTCGTCGTCGACGTCGTCGTCGTCGTCGTGGTCGGTCCCCTGTCCGTCCCTCTTGGGGTCGGGTCGACGGTCCGCGGCCGCCCCGCCGATCAGCGCTACCGCTTGCCAATCCGACGGTCCGCGGCCGCCCCGCCGCTTGCCGGGGCCCGGCCTGCGGGGAGAAAGGTATACCCCCCAAAAGGGGTTCGATCGAAGACGAAGAGGGCGGGTAAGACCCGCCGGGCATCGAGGGTTTGGGAAATACGCGTAATTGGACATTCGGGCAGATAAGTGCTAACAGTCTGGAAAGTATTTGTAGTTGTTGTTGTTGTAGTTGTAGTTGTAGTTGTATTAATTGTTGTTGTTGCTGTTGTTGTTGCTGTTGTTGTTGCTGTTGCTGCTGTTGTTGTTGTTGTTGTTGTTGTTGTTGTTGTTGTGGTTGTTGTTGTTGTTGTTGGTGTTGTTGTTGTTGTTGCTGTTGCTGTTGCTGTTGCTGTTGCTGTTGTTGTTGCTGCTGCTGCTGCTGTTGTTGTTGTTGTTGTTGTTGTTGTTGTTGATTTCTCATTTCGGAAGAATAATTATTTTTCAT